GTCAGCAAGGTGTGACATGGCGGTGTCAGTGACACAGTGCAAGGGATCTGTGTGTGTGTGCTGGAACAGGGCCTTGGAGGGATGGAGCAGGTTGGTGACTCCAGAGCTGGCTGGAATAAGCCCCTTTAAGGTGGAAGAACCCTGCTGCAGTGTGTGCTGTGAAGCACTGAGGGGAGTCCACAGGAGTCTGAGAATCCCAGAAAGGTTTGGGTGGGAAGAGCCCTCCTAGCTCATCTCACCCCACACCCCTCCATGGGGACACCTTCCACCATCCCAGGTTTCTCCAAGCCCTGTCCAACCTGGCCTTGGGCACTGCCAGGGATGGGGCAGCCACAGCTGCTCTGTGCCAGGGCCTCCCCACCCTCACAGGGAACAATTCCTTGGCGATATCCGCGTAAATATTCCCTCTTTTGGTTTAAAACCATTTCCCCTTGGGTCTTCATTATCTATCCATATAAAAAGAGTTTGTCCATCATTTTAACAAGTTCTCTTTAACTCTTGAAAGGCCATGATGAGCCCTAAAGGGGTTCCAGTCCTTGGTTAAGTGGGAAAACAGATTCCTCCTGTCTCTCCACATTGTAGCATCTGCTCTTGTGCCACTTTGGGATCATCCTGCCCTGCTGCCAGCCCAGACACAGAGACCCAGGGCAGCCTCTGGTGCCCGTGCAGTGCCACCTCCCCCAGCAAAGCTGCCCATTCCACGCTGCTCCCAGGGGCTTTGCTGCACTGCTCTGTGCAGGAAGGAGAGTTGGGATCTCAAACCTGTCTGGGATCCCAAACCTTTCTGGGATTCTCAAACCTTCCTGGGCCTGCAGCCTCCTCAGGGGTGGGACAGCGAGCCTGGGATCACTGGGAGGGCTGGGAGGTGGATGCAGCTGGGTCTGATCTTTGGTACCCACGGGGTGCAGATCCTTCCCAGGCTCTGGAGGAAAAGGAGCTTTGAAGGCTGGTGGGAAGGAGCCTTTGAGTGAAATCTTAATCCCCTCCAGAGCTTTCCCTAATCCCTGGTAATGTGCTGTTCAAAGGCCCACTTCCAAAGGAACCACTGCACTTTCTCGCTCCCATATCTCTGCTTCCCCAAGGAACTGCCCCAAGGTGTTCCCACTGACTGTTTCCTCTCATTTTCCTCTGATACATAGAATTAATTATTTTACAGCATAATGAATGAAGCAATTTCTGCAGCAGGCAGTGGTAAATCCAGCTGATTGACTGAGAGAGATTTTTGCTGTCAAGGATGTATTTGTGCTTCATTCCTCCCCCTTTTCCTGGAGGGGATCCACAGCCTTTCCCCCCAGTGTCCCAGTGCAACACTTCAAAATCAAACCTCAGAAATGTCTGTGTGTATAT